AACCTTTTCTGATATTTTTTCTGTGCAAAAGGTGGAATCTATTTCAATTTTGATGTTCCCATATTTCGTTATAGTAGCTTTGCAGCTCGGTTCGACAATCACAGTACTATTCCCATTCATAATGATAGCAGGCCCCAAGATGATATTGCCACATCCCAGATTGTCAAGCTTGAATAAAGGTGTATTCTTCCATCCATCTCCAAAGTAGACCTTGCAGTGGCCTTCAATTTTAGGGTCAGATGAACGTCCTTCAAAAGCTCGTGGCTTCAATACATTTGTGATTCCAATACCACGGACTCTTATATCACATATAAGAATATTCCTATTCTGTAGTTCAAATCCATACTCCTGCTGGAAAAGCTTCACAAACTCAGCTGCAAAGTCAAATCCTACTCCGTCATCAATTTTTTGGCCCTTTACCATGATGGCAGTATCTGTACCTTCATACCTCAAATTCAAATATGTTTCAGTTTTAATACTCCCCTCTCTAAACCCCTGTCCCAGTAGCTTATGCTTTACTTGCTTAAGTAAACTTGCCTCTCTTCGAGAAACCTCATGGACAGACTCGGAACAATACACAGCTGAATATGGCTCCTGTTCTTCTTCAACAACATCCGCCAGCCCCATACCATAAGCACTCAAAATCCCACAAAATCTATGAACAAATATCTCTTTCATACCTAATAACCTGGCAATAGCACATGCGTGTTGAGGTCCAGCACCTCCAAAGCAAGCAAGAGCATGGTTTTTCGTCTCGTGGCCCTTCATCTCAGTCAATTGCCGGATTGGACGGCACATAGTTTCATTTGCAACATTTACAAAACCCAAGGCTATTTCCTCGATTGTCATAGGCTTCGAGGATGGATCATGATTTTTTCTATAAGAATTAATTTCTGATGCAAGCTTCTCAAACTGTCCTCTTGTGGCTTCAATGTCTAGAGGCTGATCCTCCTCGGGACCAAAGATGGATGGGAAGAAATCAGGAATAACAAATCCTAAGACCAGGTTTGCATCTGTAACAGCCAACTCACCCCCTTTTCTGTAGCAAACTGGACCGGGGTGTGCACCCACCGATTCTGGTCCCACCCAAAAAGCTCCAAATTGAAATTTCAACTTTGAGCCACCACCAGCTGCCACAGTGTTGATGTCCAGCTGAGGAGCTTGAATTATTGCACCAGCAATCTGGGTTTCCAGGACCTGTTCATAACTTCCAGCATAACGGCTAACATCAGTTGATGTACCACCCATGTCAAACCCAATCAGAGGTTTCCTTGTCTCAAGCTCAAAAAGAGTTTGCGAGTAACCAACAACTCCACCAGCAGGACCAGATAAAACTGCCTTGTGCCCTGAAAACCTATTTTCCAGCGCAAGTCCTCCATCTGATTGCATAAATAGAACATTCACCTTCCCGTTGCTCTCATCAAATTTGGACATGAATCCAGATAAGTACTCTTTGATGACTGGAGTCAAATATGCATCCACGCTGGCTGTAAGGCCACGTGGAACAGCTCGAACCATAGGGGTCAAAGCAGAGGACAAAGAAACATGTTTGAACCCCAAACTCATAGCTAATTTCTCCAGAGCTATTTCATGTTGTGGGTAAGTGTAGGAATGCAATAAGACAACTGCCAAACAGCTAATACCTCTTTGCAGGAGATCCTCCAGGGAAGACTTCAGAGCTTCTTCATTGAGAGTCTTCACAACACGAATAAGCCCACCAGAAACTCCTTTTACATATGAGGTATAAGAATCTTGATTACCATCCCCCTTACCATGAACGAGTTCAACTCGCTCGTCTACTTCTATAACGTCCTCATAAAGATTTGATGGTTTCGAGACAGTAAGGTCAAATATGTCTGGACGGGCCTGGTTACCAATCTGAAGCAAATCTCTAAAACCTTTAGTAACACAAAGAGCAATCCTTTCTCCTTTTCTCTCCAAAAGTGCATTAGTTGCCACAGTTGTTCCCATCCGTATCCACTCTATATTTTCAGTGGGTATTTTCGATGTCCTCGAAATTTTCTTGCCGGTATATTCTTCAAGAATCCTCCGAATTCCTTCAACTGGAGCATCATCATAATTTGATGGATCAACAGATAGAAGTTTTATAACTTTACCATCTGGTCGTCCAGGGATTTCAGCGTAGACATCAGTGAATGTGCCTCCTCTATCAATACAAAATCGAAGTTTATCTTCATTGTCACTTCCCATAGATGAAGCCTAAAGACAAAAACAACATAACTGTGAGACCTTTGTTTCTCATACAATGTCGTCGACATTTCAATGAACTGATAGTGATAACACGTTTCAAATGTAGATGATCTAGTTAAATAAAAGCAACACTATATGTTGTCATACAATCCGTAAAACAAGCCAATAAGACAAAAATTGGAAACCAGCATTTCTGCCAATCTTCCTTCCAAATGTATCAGTTATGAAAATTCAAGTAATATGATCAAACGAGCAACCTAAATCAAAGTAAGATATAGCTCAATTTTATAATAATTGAATAATCATATTTCATTTCAGATGAAAACAGTTTCACTTTCAAGTCCGCATTAATGAACGCACACACAAACAAGAAATCGATGAGACCAAATTCTAACAAAATATACTCAAATTCCCACTTCCAATATCAGAACCCACATTCAAAATAAAAACCCACCTACAGAATCAAAACCAGAGATGAAAGAAAAGGATTGCTCGTCCCGCCGCTGCGGATCTATATCGTGCCGCCGCCGTAGATTTGTCCTCCTCGACGTCCACAGCTGCAGGCGACTCCTTGATACTCGCCGGCGCTGGATTTAGACTTCCGACGAACGAATTACCTTACTATCAACCTCCGCCACCGTCACTGATTCTTCAGAGTTGAGCAGTTAATTTAGATTTATATTTGGATAAATTTATTGCTTTGGTGCTGGTTCTCACTTTACTTTTAATATTTTATTATTATTTAATAGGTAATACTTTCTTTTTTTGTCAGATTAGTGAAATCTGTTGAAATTAAAAAGTAAGAAAGAAAAAAAAAATAGTGGAATTATTTTTGTTAATTAAAAAAAGGTGGATTTGTATCAGCGCCGAGATTTCCAAATATTCATATTTTAATTGTTTCAGGTTTTTAAATAAGGTTATAGAAATAAAAATATTATAAAAAATATTTAAATTAATAAATAAGCCTTTCATATTTTTGTTGAAATTTTTTATATTTTATCAATTTTTTTGCAATATTATGAAAATATCTATTTTTATGTCAAACTCATGAATACATGAAAATGGAAAGGTCGGTATGTCATATTTAATACCTGGTTCATAGTGCGGTGATTTGAACTTATTTGCATATATAATTATGAATTTTATCTTAAGAAACAAAAAGCCCCTCCACGTGGGAATCTTAGGACTTGTTTGGTAATATTTTCATTTTTTGTTTTCCATTTCTAGTTTATTAAGAAACCTAAACATTTCGTAATTATTTGTGTTTATTGTTTTTCAAAATATTCTCAAAATTGTATAAACATTTTGAAAACAACCCAATCAAGTTTTTTCTTGTTCTATTTTTATTTTGCTACAAAACATAGCAAAATAAAAATAAAAATATTGTTTTATCATTCTTAACTTATAAAATACAAAATGAATATTAAAAATTTGAATATTTACTTTAAAAAATTAATTTTCATACAAAGTTTTTACTTATTGAATTTAAAATTTTAGAGAAAACAAAAACAAAAAATCGTTATCATCAATTTCATTAAAAAGTAGTAATAATAATAATAATAATAATAAAAAAGAACAAGAAATAGTTACCAAATACAATACTTTTTCTTTATTAAAAATGAGAAAACAAGAAATGAAAATACTAAACGGATTCTTAAATTCTCACGAAACAAACAACTCTTTCGAGTTAGAAAGTCAATCCTAAAATCAGAAACAAATATGTTTACGAAATAAATTTTGCATTAACAAACCCAATACAGTGCATAACATAGTCAATTGTGCTTCTTTTTTCCTTTTTTTTTTTTTTGCCTTTTGAGTTCAAAAAATCATAGAGGTGGAAGATGAAATCATTGAACTTTTAGATGGTTATAAATAACTTACCTACTAACCATGCTTCAACTGGCTAGTCAAATTATTCCTATTCAATTCAGTTAAGAACTTGTCAATTTCAATCCCTCTAAAATGAAAAATTATATATAATAATTGAATTTGTATGGCAACATAACTTAGTCATCAAATATTAAATTACTAATTTAGGTTATATTTAATTGTATTAAATTCTAGACTTGGAAGTAGTGACAGACTACTTGACATAAAATAAAAGTGAGATCAAAAACTTCAACTTTATTTATTTATTTATATTATATAGCTATATATATATGTTTTGTTTTGTGTGTTTAAAAATTATCCTTATAAACACTACTTTCACCTATGTATATGTCTCTATTTCCACCTTTTGAATTGTTTTCAAAATCTAACCTAAATTGTAAAAACTAAAAAAAAAATACAAAACTCATCTTTTTTTTTTAATTCAGCTTATAAACATTAGTTTTACTTTTGTTTTTATCTCTTTTTTAAAACATTTAAAAAGTTTAAGCCTAGAAAAAGAACTAGTTATTAAAAACTTGTTTTAGTTTTTAAAATTTGGCTAAGTCAATTGTTTTTAAGGTAATTACCGAACAAGATTGTAGATTTCAAAAATTAGTTTTTGTTTATAAAATTTGGCTAAGAACTGTGTTTTTAAGAAGGGTGAAGACATGCTAAGAAATTGTGATGAAACATAAAAAACTAAAAACAAAATTGTTATCTAAGGTGGTCGCCAAACCCTCCATAACAATCTACTAGCTCGAAAGGTCTAAAGATCAAAATATTCAACCAGAGAATCTCCATCCCCCTTCTCCAAAAGTTATACTAAAAATTTGTAAAGTTGAACAAAGGAGGCCTCTAAATAACTAAAATTCTTTAATGGCCCCGAGTCGGGTTTCCAAGCACAAAACCAGATCAAAGAGAACACTGAAATCTAACCAAACTATATTAGATGCATGATCATCATAGGGGACTTCTTATAACAATGCCAAAATGAAGAGAGAATTAAGTTCCTCATTGTTAAATTAAGAAAATTACATTATGAAGAGACTGCCTCTACAAGCTTCTCTTTGCTGCTTCCACTAGATCTTTTTCGCCTATGCTTATATGAAGGCAAACAAGTTAGAGTAAAAGAAGCAAAAAGAAGCTCAGGAATTCAAATATACAAGATGAGAGAGTTTATTATTTTTATTGACAAAACAAACAAAGAAACATAATGGTTAACTGCTCATCTAGCTCTCTTCCTGTTCACATATTCTACATCCTATACTACCACCTCTTAGTCGAAATCGTAAAAGGACTCAAAAACTGATGAACCACCACCATCGTCGAACTCGAAGTGCAAAGTTCATCGTTAGTAATAATGCAACAGGTCAGCAAAGCAACAACCAGAACCCTTTTCGGCATTGCGCGATATTAAAGACAACAGGCTAAGTCAAAGACGAATCGACAGGACTGCTTTCATTCAAACACCCAACAACTTGAGGATATAATTTAAGACCAAAACCTCCATTTTTCATTTTGCCACTGACTGTACATACCTCAACTTCTGAATATGTACATGAAAGATGGGATTTTACTCAAACTTTTCTTGCAACCATTTTGACTGATATGCCTTTACTCTATGAGGAGCTATGATCTCCAAAGCACCTAAAACACACTTGTGGTAAGAAAAATCTTCTGTCGTCCCATCAGATCGTATCAATATAAAGCAACGTGTATTTTGGTACTTTGAGTGGCAACCAATCTGCAAATGAACGATCAGATAGCAGGTAAAGAAATCTATCATAGTTGATTATATCAATTACGCGGATAAACATCAAATTTCATTACCAAACACAAGTACTATGTAATAGTAATAACATTATATAAAAATCAAGCTGAATAAGCACTAGAGCCCTTTACTAGAAATGTGAATTATTTTGGATCATTTAGCTTAACTACCAGTCTCTACAGAGATCATTGCAGGAATCTTGGCTAAAAAACCGAAGGCTTTGCTTTCTAAAACTATCTTCAAGGCTCATTCATTGACCACTTTCTCCTAAAACAGCCTCTAAGAATTCTTTCTTAATCACTTTTCTGTAGATTCATTAATAACTGCAGATCAAGTTCAAAAGAGAAATCCTAACTCAGCTTTTTCTCCAAGATGATGCTACAACCTCTTAGATCCTAATTCAGGCTAATGAATAGGCCCGTATCCTGTGGCATTGTGCTTTCTTCGCAGTTGTTTGGGAGCTGTGGTTAGAGATATAGGAGAGTTTTTCTGGGGCTTGAGAGACTGGGAGGAGGTGTAGTCTCCTGCTAGATGTAATGCACCTCAGACCCCTTCTTTTATAGCAAGTTTGGGTTTGGCGTCCCTTATGTTGGGCTGTTTTTTTAACGTCTTTTTGTACTCTTTCATTTCTTCAGTAGGCTTTCAGATTAAAAATAAAATAATTGGCCAGATACCCGTTTTTCTGCTGTCTCTTTGCTCAGAGATCGTGGAGTCTTTTGTTGATCTTATGGTGCTTCCCTTATTGTTAAAGGACAGCTTACAGGTTTTGCTCAACAGTCATCCTTTCAAAGATAAAGATGAGATCCTTTGGTGTATTGCAGATAAATCCACCTATTCTAAAGCTACAAGTATCCTGCGTCCTCTTGGAGTGCATTAGATATACTACTTCTCATTTACACTCTTCCCATCCTAAAAAATTGGAAACATTTTAATGATCTTAGTTGGTCTGAGGACAAGATATCGTTTTCCCCATTTCCTTCCCTTTGAGTTCAAATGAAATTTGTATCTTGCAAAAACAAAACAATAGAATAGATCACTTTCCAAAAACATTTTGAAGGACATTTTAAATCCAACATCAATCACAAAAAAGGAATCTTCATCTTACTTGTTTTACTTTATTTACTTATTATTTTTATTTTAATATTGTTTTGGGGTGGGGGGAGGGGAGGATATGGGATATGCTAAAAGAATTTCGTCTTCTATGGGAAATACCTTTATGTCCTGTGCTCCAGCACCAATCTTTTCATCCCTTTGAGGATGAAAGTATAAAGCCATCATCAAAGTTGACTTGTCCCCTTCACTTAATCTGTGATTTAAAGGATACCTACACACACAAGTGGAACCTTTTAGAACTCCAACTCCGTTCAGCATTCAAAATGTTAAAAATGAATAACTCTAACATACTAAGTGATTTTCAAGCAATATACAATTATTCATTAAGCTATAACAAGTATAGATGTATAGGTGCTTTTTTTCTCAAAAGGGAACTTGTGGATTGAAGTAAATGTCCAAATAGCATAAAACATGCATCTAATATAACATAGCCCACAGAGGAAGAACTAACTTGTGTAAAATGCTTCTCAATGCATGAGACAGCTTCTGAACATCATTCAAAGTCAAAAATTGCCTTAAAATTGATTTAGATACACTATTGAACTTTTTAAGCCCTTTGATGGTAGAACCGCCGTTTTTATGCACTAACTGAGCACTATATTTCTCAAATGTATTGTTCTTGTCAAGAGATTCAATCTTCACATTCTGCTTCTCACAAATGCTTTGGCCACCCAGTAGATTATAAACATCGACAGGCTTACTAAGCTCATGCCCCTGAAGAGTAAGAACAATTCAGAACCGTAAGATATCTCAAAATAAGGAACAAATAAATATTACCTAAAAATCAATTAGCAGAAGCCTTTAGGGAGACCCAGAAAAGCATCATGTTTCTTTTAACAAGAAACAAACTTTTCATTAATAGATGAAAATGAAGAAAAATATTCAAGGATACAAACTCCAAAAAAGCATCATGTTATCATGACATTTGCAAACAATAGGGCCAGCTGATTGCCATCAACTTAGTTTAGAGCCTTTCTAAAAGTGTCAATTCAAAGAAAACATACACAAAATAGAAACATTGTTAATTAGGTAACCAACAGCTTGGAATTATCCCTAATTCATCCACACATACATGTTTGAAAACTCATTAGCCTGAATCCTTTTCCAAATAATTGAAAACTTTTGAAATCCCATGAAAACTTTTGTTGGACCTGTTAGAGCTGAAACTTCTCTGTTTTTTTTTTTTTGGGGGGGGGAAGATGTACGATGGGTGGTGAAAGCATGCATGAACTGACAAACTTGATTGACGGGGACACATTACCAGAACGTTATAATCTCACCTTCCCAGAGTATAAGATATCGAACTGTGCCCCAGTTCCCATGGAAGGCATCTTTCCCCATGCCAAGGCATCTAGAGTTCCTGAAAGATTGTCCTTAGTTCCAGCCTTGGCAGCTTTAACAAAACAAGCACCAGGATTCTGCAGAAAACCAAGAATGGATTATTTTACATTGATTGCTTGCTCATTATGATGATGATTCATACAAAGATTAACAATTAGATAACTAACAGAGAAGCAAGCTTGCATAAAGGGTGTTTTGACCAAGGCATGTTCCCTTTGCCGTGACAATCCTTTCACATTCAAACCAACAAACTCTCCAGTAGCGGAAAGACAATTTGCAACAAGCATCAAATGTTCAAGACGTATAGATTTGCCAATATCTGATGTTGCAGACACCAAACTCTGCATTAAAATATTGCATGGTTAGATTAGAAGCATGCAAATGTTCCTATGAATTGTCAGATCCAAGAACCAGCCAAAACTTGTTGGGGGAGTAGAGGACAGAAAATTACTCACATTGAGAAAGTACTTCCATCCAGAATCTATTCCATATGCCATACAGAGACTGTGAGTGTTATCTGGATGACTACGAGACCAATCAATCAAATCCATTATCTGGAGGCAGTTATCCATAAGAGTTGCCCAAAACCTTGAATTGCCTTCTCCAGACATGGTCACTCGCAAGTAGAGCTCACCATGAGAATTACAATGACGTTTTGGTACCTTTGGCCGATCATTCCATGCAATATCTACCCTTTCAATCTCCGCAAAGCCTAATGAAAAAATACCAAATGAAAATAAAACACATAAAATTTTGGTAAGAATCTAGTCAGATAAAAAGCATAACCTAAGTTCAGGCTTGTCATGGTGTGCTCTTTCCAATCCTTTCCCTAACTATTCTCCTAGCATGATTGGTACGAATTGGGAGGCTCTTGTAACTCCCCCTACTTTTCAGTCTTCTGATTTTGCTTTTTACGTCTTCTTTTTACTCCTTTTCACTCCTTAGGGAATTTTTATATTTGAACAAATTTTGTTCCTTTTCATATATCAATGAAAAGTTCGTATCTTGTTCAAAAATACAAAAAACAACATTTTGCAAAACCATCTTAAAAAGTCTCTTGGTGTTTCCAGAATGTTATGCCAGTTGAAACAATGAAAAATCAGCATGGTCCTTTTGGATTTTATTGTCTCTTTATTATCTGTATTGCTCCTAGTTGGGCCTCTTTTATTTTATTTCTTTTCTCTTTTTCTCTCTCTCCTTCGGCCTCGAACTTTTTCTCCTTTTCATATATCAATGAAAAGTTGTTTCTTGTTAAAAAAAACAAAAAGAAAATGTTATGCCAGTTGAAACAATGAAAAATCAAGAGAATCCTAGCAATTTAGTGCGAATATCCTTTAGATCTTGTCAAATATAAGGCATATCACATTACATATTGATTTTCTTTTAACTTTTATAAAAAGAAACAAGTATCTGTATGAAATAATGTATAGAAAGGTAACAAGGGGATGCCGAACAGAACAGACTTTATTGCAAAACAGCTTCAAACTGGCCATGATCAAGGACAGGATAGGAGTAACTTGCAGAATAAAGACAGCATTGAATCCTCATCCTCCATCTAAAGCTCAAACCAAATATGACCAATAGACCTTGTTTGAGCCATTTTCAAGGTCTATTTTGAGGATAAATACCCCATTTTCTAAAAATTCAACTCCCCTACATCTTCTCACTATTTTTCTTATACTGTGAGTATTTCAGCTAACTTACAAACACCTCGACTATTCTCATATGATAGACCACGTGACTCAGACGGCACTAGGATTTTTATCCTAGGTAGGTGGCCATAACTGGATTTGAACCCTCCCTACAGCTTCTCACTTTTGACTTACAAATTATACGAACAGAATGACTCAGGTGCCCACAACTACAAGCATGACAATTATGCCCAATATTCAACTGAAAAATGCCAAAAATGTATCACTAAAGATATATTTAACACATTGTGACTTCAACTCAAAATTGAAGCAAAAACTAACGACAATGGTAGGTTTTAAATCTAATGCAGTATTAGTAAGTCAAAAACATCAGGCTGTTCAGACTGGCCATGTATATGAGGAAAGCATGTTAAATATTAGAAGGTAACGAACAGTACAGACCTCTTATAACTGTACCAAGAAGGAAATGAATCAGCAAATCTCGAATGAAATCTAATTGCAAGAAAGAATTTTTTGTGTGCTCCACTATTGTAGTAGTTAAGCACACTGTATCACCATCTTCTTTCTGTGAATCAGCTATAGGACAGTCCCTTATCAGCCAAAAAACGACATAGAGCTCAAGTGAGTTTATAATGGTTAAATTTGCTCTAGTAAAAAAACAAAAATAGAGAAGATTTCATTTCAAATGAAAGGAAACCGGCTCCAAATGTCAATGAAAGAAGGAGCTTACTGGGTTGTTATCTGCAGATAGGGTAAATTCGTTTTTGCTTCTTTTCTCACAGAGTCACACCGCACATTAAGGGAATGGATGACAGAACTCATTTTCAATCGTCTTTTCTTCAAATTTTCCTGGATGGATAAATTATAGTTGACACTAGATATAAAGGACTTAATAACAATATATACATACATACACTTATAAAGAAAGACGGCTTCAGATTGCATTACCTTGCATACATGAAAGTGGCAAACCCAAGGACTAATATGCTTTTTCCGGCAGGGCTGCGGGGCGAAGCTAATGCCCATATGAAACGTTATTAATAATGCCAATCAAAAGATACTGTAATCACAGCTAATGAGAAGTACAGAAAACATGAAAGGACGTTAGTAACTTACATTATCATGACACTAGACACAATATCTTTTAGCATTACTCTTTCTAAATGGCTCTTGACTCCTAAAGCTCCATACTCAAATCCATAACTTCGTTTTGCAAGTTTCTCCGATAAGAACAATGAAAAGGTTTGTTTGTTACAATTCCTCTTTGAACCACACTCCAGCACTCTCTGCAAAAGTCGAATATATCACAACCATTAGCCTTGGTATCAGAAACTAAATGCTTGTTTAGAAGTTATGCTAGAAAATTTATTAAATTCAAAACAGTTTTTTTTTTAATTCATTTTTTACTCATATAGCATGGATACACTTTTGACCAATTGGCTCCATGTAATTCATTGGTTTTGGGGTTTTTCCTTCCCCCTTTTTTGTAATTTCACACCTCAATGAAATTGTTTCTTATAAAAAAAATGTAATATTAAAAATTAAAATCGTTGACCTAAATTGTTAAATAGAGAAGGGCAAGCTTGCAGTACCTTTAGGTTTAGCAATGGAGAAGCTTCGAGTAGACTAATTGGTTGGTCCAAAGCACTATATGCAGCTTCAGAGATAGCACAAGCGGCCAATGAACCAACAGGATGACCACCAGTAACACGGTTTGCATAATTATCCTCACTATCAAATTCATTAGAGATTCTAGCGGAGGAGTCTCTATCAATATCATAAGAGAACTGAACTAGCTGATTTCCATATGCATTCCTCACTGTTCCATCATATGCATTATATATATCCCGCATCAAAAATGTAAGTCGTCGTGTTAAAGTCCCAGGAACTTCAGCATTATCACTAAAAGAGCTATCTCGATTTGTCACTGAATGAGCAAAACACTCAAAAGGATTTAGCCCTGACAGAAATGAGTTCTCAACCACAGCATATGGAATAAAAGACTGAGTACGGTAAGAAAGACCATCCTTCTGAATATAACAAGGCATCTTCTGACTATTCCATGCAGAACACGAGAGTCTATGTGGAAGCCCAAAAGAAAGAGGAACCAAAGAGTGCTGCAAGCCGAGACACATGCTATGCTGAACTAATTTCAGCAAGTTACCTTTGCTTCCAGCCTTAAACATGGTTAGAAGTGAATTGTCTTTACTAGAATACTTATAAACTAGATTTTGTATATCACGGAAAACTTTCTTGAAAGCATCAACAGAAGCTTGATTTAGAGCAACAGATTTCTGCTTCTCGTGACATAAACGCTCCACTGCAATAGACAACACATTTTGATTACCTTCATTATCTCCAGCAAGGATATCCTTATTTGAATCCACCATCAGCTGTTTTAAATTACATGTTTCCTCTGCTTCTTGTAACCCACAAAAGATATCATCCATCATGTTTTTGTGTGAGTATGAATCAACAGAAAGGTACAAGTCCGAAAGTGAAACACTCAAGCCCCTCATTGATAACCATTCACAGAGAACTCCTTGAGCATCACGCAAGATGTCAAGGGTCTTTCCCTGACAATGTTCAATAAGAGCTTGAAAGAGGTTTCTGCCAGTATCGCGTAGCCAATAAGATCCTTCAGAAGATATAAGTTCTCCATTTCTAATATAAACACAGTGAGTAGGAGAAGAATAATCAAAATCAGGAGGCAGGAAGATGCTGAATAATTGTTTTCCAGTCCAAGCACAACTTCTAAGTGAAGGAGCTTTTACAATTGCTGGGGAAAACAATTGATGTAAAGCGAGCATTTGCAACTGCTGCATTTGGAAAAGATTTAAAGAAACTCCATCTTCCATTATTAAATGAGCAGCAGTTAAACTATCATGACTAAGTGACAGCAGATTTCTACCACTTTGGCCATTGATCAACTGTCTCTCGAGAGAAACCAGCTCTCTAAGCTCCACTCGGGCTTCAAGTGATTGAGGAACATAACCATGAAGGCAATCACCATCAAAATCTCCACGGAAAGGAGAACAACAAAGTGGGTTTAAGGAAAGAACTGAGGAGACAGGAAGAACCTTGACAGATAAAGCAATAAGTGAGTGTTGGTGGATGGATGGTGGTCGATTGACCAACACAACATCCCTGTCAGCTAGAGGCCTATATATAGTGTCCCCCATATTAAGTTCAAGAACATTGCGTACACGAACGAGGCGACCTCCACGACGAACAAAGATCTCTCCCTTTTCAACAAGATGTAGGTAACAAGAAGTACTTAATTTTTTCATATTCCACACACTCAGATGCTCAGATATTTGCAACCTCTCTGCAACATGACAAGGTATACCAATTTCACTTAACTCAATGTTTGGATCACCAACGACAACCATGCGGAAACAATGGTCACTCCGCTTTCCAAGAACAACGTCTTTGATCCATCTCAAACCACATGAGCTAGTAGCAGTGTCCTTAATTTTCTTTTGCTGGTAAACCAAATCTTTACTTTGTAACTTCTCTGGACTAAGCTGCATAATAGAAGTGTCAATATAATAAAGAACAAAAATTTCACATAATAGTTGATGTGATTAAGGCAAAAGATAAAGATATTGTAAATTGCCTTTGAAATTTTGAGACAATCGAGAACGCGAGAACCTAACTCGTTAGCTGTCCCTCTAAAATCAACCAGCTTCTTGTAAGCCCTGGTCCTTTCATCCTTAAATCGTTAAACAGGTTCAAAAGCAACACATTAGAAAGAGGCAATGTCATTCAAAGATCCTCTATTTGAATAACCCCAACCTAAACATTGAGAATTGAGAAGACAAATCTTACAAATATTAAACGCTGCCCATTGGAAAATGAATGTGCCATTTCAGACACACGATGACAGTTTGGAGTCACAGGGAAACAGTTTAGAAACAGTGAATCTGTCATGGGCACAAACTTTTTAAGAAACTTTGGGTCAATGTCTTTCAACAAATAACGGACCTGAAATCCATGAAGTGTCACTAAAATATCAGATCAAGTATGAGAAAAGGCAAATATCACAAGTCTACAATAATGCAAAAGATTTTAAGGCTGGCAGTTATAAATTCATAAGGTATGATGGCAAATAAACACCAAAATTGAAAAAATCCAAATTAATTTCCAAATGCATCAGTAGAGCAACGCTAAGTGGGACAATTACAGACAACAAACATTGCTAATTTTTAATTTTCATTAAATCCTCCCATTTGTTCAAGGCTTAAAAAATGCTTTGATTCCTTTCAAAACCAAATACTCCATGAAATAGCTTTAATATCTTAGCTTTGTTCTTCAACTTGACTCTACAAAGAAGTCTGAAAATATTTTCCTTGAAACATTTATCAAGCACCCATGATATATATATATATATATATATATATACACAGAAACAAGGAGAAACCTTCATTCAAGAAAGCAAATAGCCAATGAACAATATAAAGGACAAAGGAACAAGGGGTCCCTTCTCCAAAAAAGGGGGGGCGGTAATCAAAGTTCTCCAATCTAGGTTGATAAGGAAAGAAGAATAATTACAAAACATTTGGTGAAAAACACTCCAATTAGAGGAGTTGAGCATCCACGATATAGGTTGTTAACTCGTGAACCGAATAAATTAAAATTTAGTGTATCACATATTGTAGCATATCATGTATCTGATATGAATGGCCTTAGTATCGTAAGTTTTATTTTATAACTAATATTTAAATATAAATTATATATGTATACATCTATTTGAAGTTCTTCTCTGTGAGAGTTTTCCTTGAGAGTTTTCCTTGATAGCATGGATCTCCATTCGGACGACACTCCTTTGAATGTTTCTAAACATTTCATCGTCTCTTCTCTCAAATTCATTTCTGGCATATCTCCTTCACAGTTGAACGAGTATTTAGCCTTTCTTAAATCTGAACTCGTTAGGCTCCGCGAAGAATGAGCTTTGATGTTTGAAGAATTTTCTAGAAGAAGGATGGAGATTCAAGCTACTCGGGATAGGGAGCTAGCTAAAATTCGAGCCAAATTCTCCTGAGAGATTAATGAACTCTATCCAGAAGACAAAGATGGCGATCCCAAAGCTGAAGACCCCAAATGGAGGATCTTTTTGTTTGTAGTTAGATTGATTCTATTCTTGGCTTTTGATATCACTCTTATTTTGTTTGTATTGCTCTTTGTTGAGCCTATTTTCTGCGTTCATCTTTTCTTTTTTCTCTCACTCCTATAGGAGTTTGTATCCTAGAATTTTTTCTCCTTTTTGTATTCTTGAATTTTTTTTCCTTTTCATAGATCAATTAAAAGTTGTTTCTTGTCGCAAAAAAAAATATACATATATATATAGTAAATAGTTGAAGATAATAGGAATTTGGAAAAGAACCAATTCCCAATTCCCATTATCTCTATCTAAATTATTAGATCTTGCCAAGGGAAGGATCTAGACTTACAGTCTTACCATACACGTGGGTGGATGGTTTGCTTGGATGGGGGAGTGGGATTGTGCTGTGGCAAGATTACATTTTCCTCCTCAAACAAAATTTAACAAAATTTAATAATTCAGATAGAGATAATGGGAATTGATTCTTTTGCAAATTCCTATTATCTTCAACTATTTAGTATACATATAAAAAAAAAAAAATTTTTACAAGAAACAACTTTTAATTGATATATGAAAAGGAAAAAGGTTTAAGATACAAACTCCCAGTGAAAAAAATTAAGAGAGAAGAAAATAAAAACAACAAAGAATTAACACAACAAGAGCAATACAAGCTCAGAGAAGATAAAATGCATTCTAACCCAGAACTCAAAAAACTGCTAGCTACAAAGGTTAGAAAACCAGAAGAACTTCAGAGCCACGACACCACTCAAGGGATAAAACCTTCCTTAGAACCAAAAGCAAAGACCAAACTCCAAAAAGAACCAAGTAGAAGCTAGGGACACACGAGCTAAACCACGACCAACCGAAATGCTAAAAACGGAGCGAGAAAAGGCCATTTCCACATATTCTATTAAGTAGTAATCACCAAAAAGTAAAAACAAAGCCTCAATGCTATCTTCAAAATAACCTCCAATAATAAGCCACCATATGCCAACCCACGAGTTGAAAAGAATAAATCCTCACCTACCAACCAGCCAACCAAACTAAAACTGCAAAGCTACAAAAACTGCAAAAGGCGTAAGAGAGAACCTTTCAACTTTCCGAACAACTTAAAATTTAAAGGACGCTACTCAAAATATCTTAAAAATTAGAGAATGTTGTCATACGAAACAAGAGTAATCCCATTTCTTCAAAAAAGAGAGGAATGGTTGTTTGCTTTGCAAAATCTGACTTCTCATCTTCGTTTTGCTCATTAAATAATATATGAAAATCTTCCTTGAAGGATTGCTAAGAAATATCCTCAATAGGGGTGTTTGACTTTGAGGAGGAGTCCAAACTACTAATACTAATTGCTTCATCATCATCTTCAAAATCATTATATGAGGATTCGACAGAGGATGACTCACCCTCATTAGTTGAGTGGATTGAGCCAAGGGAAAGAACATTTAGCTTGAGCGAACTAACTTTACTAACTACTTCCCGTTCCTCGTTAAAAGTCTTATTCAAGTTAAGTTGTACCCCTTCAACTATCAAAGGCTTTGCGAGATCCTTTCCAAAAATAGTATTAGGCTTCCTTCGAGAGAGAAATGAGAGGGGCTGAATAAGTCTTTTGGTATTCTTCATACCAAGTGGGAAATGGTTACCCTTTGATCGGTTCAAAATAGCTCCTGCATTTATTTCTTGGAAAACAAAAGGACCAATAATGTCTATATCCTTATCAATGTCCACAACTTTTCTGGCCAAAGGAGTGCTCAACTGATTGTTAGAACTTTTTCTAAAACTGAGGCAATTGAAGCATTTTGAATATAAAGGGTCAGTTGCAAGCCGCTTTGCCAGGCTATCCTTATTAAGAAACTCTTTGCAAAACCGAGACTCTTCATCGGCTAAAACTTCTTGCAATCTTTGAGTGTCCAACAAGTTAGGAGAATCTGCAATCGATAAAGTCTTGGAGAGTTGCACAGAGGAAAATGATGACCTGGTAGCTTCATTTATGGCAACCACTCAGTGTTATTGAGGCGCATCCGGGCGCTCGCCTCAAGCAAGAGGCGAGGCGATTTCGCCCAGGTGCAGCTCACAAGGCGCCCAAGCAAGCACCTTCAATCGGACGCTCGCCTCAGTGCGCCTCTCGCCTAAGGCCAGGCGATCGCCTCGTTGAAGCAAGGCGATCTACCTTATATTTTTTTAAATTTTTAATGTATTTTTTTTAAAAGAACCTTTCTCCCTCGCGAAATACCCCAGTTCACAAACCCTAACCATTCTCTCTGCCTCTCGACATTCACCTTCACCACCCTCAATCTCCGGCCACCACCCACTCCCATCTCCGACCATCGCCGTCGCCACTCCTGTCTCCGACTAAACTTATTGAATTTGGTTGTTTTATGTATCTTGTTGACATTTACTATGACACTATTTTGGTATTTATTTTTTAAACTATGTTTACTATATAAATTTATGCACTATATATATCATTTTTATTTATTTATTAAGGTGTGCCTCGCTTCACTCGGGCGTCGCCTTTATATCGCCTCTCACCTCAAGATAATCAAAGGGCTTGTCGCCTTGAAGTGCGCCTTACACCTCGAAAACACTGCAACCACTTGTACCACAAACACTCCACATTTTGCTATCTCAATAGAAGCCAAAAAATGATGACTTGGTGGCGTCATTTATGGCAACCACTTGTACCTCAAACACTCCACATGTTGTTATCTCAATAGAAGTCGGAATAAAGCCACAGACATTCTTCTAGATCTGAATGAAAGCTACTGAACAATCTAACAAATTTATTGTTGCGTAAGAGACTTTCTTCCTACCTCCAAGATGAGTTCCAATGGCCTTAAAGCATTGCATATTCCATAGCTTTAAACGTAAGTCACAAATTTTCACCCATCCTCCAAAACAAATCGTCACTCTGTTCCTACCATGTTCTTCAAGATTCCATTTTTCCATTTCCACATGAAACCATCTTCCTTGTGACATTTCCCATTGAGCCAATTAGAGCTCAAGGACCTTCCACTTTCAAATCTAAATACAACCTTCTCTGCCAAGAAGTGGTTGACTTGACAATTTTCCGAGAGGACACTTCTGATGGAAGCATCAATTGCCTTCCAACTATCCTGTGCATAAAACCTTGAGATAACCATGACGTTATCCCACGGATTCCCTTTGACTCGATTAGAGTTGCTCCCTTTTCCAAATCATTGCTTGACCAAAGAGCAATTCCCCTCAAATTTTCCATCCTCTATTGTAGTGGATGGCATCAAGTTGTCTCTGGTCTTAACCCTCTTTGCATATGAAAAATTAGAGGCCTCCTTCACTAGCTTTCCATTGGAATTCACCGAGGAATCTTTTAGCATGTCCCAGGAAGCATGTCCCAGAAAATTACCCAGCCTTTAATCCCAGCAGGCAGAAATAAGAATTTTCTTCCACCACCCGATGTGGGCTAAACAACACATTCCAAACCAGCTATGCAAAAATTGCTTTTTTTGGAGTCGACAAGTTCCGTTCCCATCCTGACTTGCATAAGGATCCTCAAATGAAGTGGGAAGTGTAGCAACTCCACCAAAGCCCTCTCACGCCACTGAAGCTGGGAAATTGAAGAGGAATATAAACATTCTTCGTAGAGTCTTTAATGAAAAAACAATCATTGTCACTACAAATCTAATATTAATTGTTTTCAACGCTGCAACTTCTCAAGTCCATATCCAAACTTGAATGAAAAATCTTATTTCGGGCCAGCGGTGCAAAGAACAAAACGCTGAAACTGGAAGAAAAATTTACGTCGGACAGCGAAGGCAATGGCGGGCGGCGGTGGCAGTAGTTAGGGTTAGGGTGGTTCCAACACAAGAAGGGAGGGAGAGCATGAGTCGAATATGGCGTCAGTGATGGAAGAGCCGATGACAAACAGCAAAGAAGGTGGCAAGACGGCCACCACAGCAGATTTCAACAAAAATATGGTGAAATGATCATTGAGCAAAATGATGTACACACGATAGGTACCATTTGACATGGTAGATGGTGCTCGACGTCGAGAGTGCGCGATGGCGAGTGAGAGTGGCAAAGCCTGGGAGATTGGAACGGACGCCCCACTAAAACAAAATCTTTTTAGACTCAAGGTTTCTCTGACTTCCTCTATTCTCTACGACACCTTCTTCCTTCCTCTTTTTTTTTCACTTCCTTTTCCAATCAACTTTGCCATGCCACATGCTTATATCACATCTCCTTGGTTCTCTTCTTCCAGAATCCCAGCACCTAAATTTGTGTGGATCTCTTTTTTTTTTTTTTTTTTGAACAAGAAACAGATAGATGAAAAGATAAAATGTATCTACAACCTCTAAAAGGAGAAAAACAAAAACCAACTACCATCCAAATAAATAAAGGTCAAAACAACAGCTCTCAAAAGATAAAACCAAAAAACCAGTCAGAAAACCAATAAACTAACCAAAACTAGATACAACTGCAGCTTAACAAAACCTAACAAAAGAACAGCAAACAAAAACCTCAAAAAATTCTCTAAATTCTTTAATTTTTTCCTATTTTTTTTCCTTCTGAGTCTGGAAGAGTATAAGAGAGATGTTCAATATAAAATATTTAATTAACTCTTCTTCCCTCTGAAATTTTTTATGATCATAAATAGTTGAAAATCCGACTAGCAAAATTCTCTTTGATAAGAAAACGAGAACATATTAATTGCATCATTCAACACATCAGGGTTTCATGGGTTCATTGTAATCTATATGTATACGGTGTCTGAAGTTTCTAAGAAAAGAACAATTTGAGCGAACAATGAATATGTGCATAGTTGAAAAACCTGAACGAACTAAATCTAGTCAATTTCATAAAGAGGCCCAGTACCTGAGCATGCGTTAGGATTTTCCTGTTTGGTCTACAATAACTTTCTTCCTGTTGTTCGTCTTTGGGGATAAAATTCCAGTAATCAGGGGGCAATCCTCCTCTAGCCACCCTCTTTTGATACTTCTTCGACATATTTTCTTTCACTTCCACCATAATTATACTTTTTCTGAACATATCAGAAGATGAAAGCTTAAACTTCATTGGCGGATACCACTCTTTTAGACTTCCCTGTTGTGCACATAAACAATGGATTAGAAATAAATTTTCATCATCAGAACAGTTCTGAAATGATAAACACTTTAGTCACAGGTCAAACAAAATGAGCTAAATGAACTTACAAAACAGTATCTGCAACCTTTAGGTCGATGGTAACTAGATGTTGGATCCTCAACCTGGTACATGTAAAGAGAATAAAATATATATTTTTTAAAATAAATTCTAAATCTAGATTTAAATAAAAAAATACAAATAAAAAGGCAGAAGCAACCACCAAAAAGTAGTTATATGTGAAGATGGTGAGCAAAGAGCTCCCATGGCCCAATGAAATAAAGGAGGAAAACTGGAGAAATTATAAAAGGTTGTAGATAGAATACGCCAAGATAAAACAACTATATAAATTCTCACTTCTTTTTCCTTTTCACCAATTGTAAAAAGTTATTTAATTTTCCATGGCGTTTAGCAACATATGGAAGTTCTTTTGGAAGAAATGGTTTTTTTTTTCAAAAGTGTGAAAAAGAGTTTTATTTTAAAATTCAACTCTCAGAAACATTTATAAAGACATTCTAATTCTCTCTTTCATATCCTTCTTTGCATAAGTGATACTGTTTCTCATCCCCAAAAAGAATTTACAAATTCACATGGGCAAGGAAACCACATTTTTATATAGAAGGATTCGTAACTTTTTAACTAATTAAATGATTCAAGGCTCATCACAATAAGTGAGGTACCTGACCTTGCCCCATAGTTCCTGCCTGATAGTCTTACACCCTGGACAGACTTTATTCAACACTTGTGCAACTTCGGAGAGAAAATAGGGATGGATTATAGTAAATGGAAATTGGATAGCCCCAAAATGACCTTACAAAACCATTCAAGTAAAATTGTTAGTACACTCCAATGAGCAAAAGGTAAGCCAACAAGCAACATCTTTATAACACAACTAGTCAATTACCTTCACAACATTTTAGAACGCTAGCACCGCATGTGGAGCATTGATAAGATGGATTTGGAAGTCCCAACTTAGGATCAGATACCTCGCCAGTTGCATCAACCGATATGACTGATATATTCTCCTGTTACATCATCAATAAAAGTTTTTTTTCACAAAAGAAATAGCAAAATCCAATCCTGTGTATATAGCAAAACAACACGTACAAGATTAAAGGCACCTATTCCTACACCAGAGGCGTCCACAGCAACCTCAAATGGTTGAGAAAAATCTGGTAGAGCTAAAACAGGGGTAGAACTAAGTCTGTCCTTTAGAGTGTTAAAGCTATTAGTCTAGTCCTTATCCCAAAAAAAAAAAAATCCCTTTTTCAAGCCGTGTTAGCGGTGCAGCTATAGAACTAAAATGTTTAATGAATTTCCTATAAAAAGAAGCTAAGCCCAAAAAACATTGAATATCTCTTACCGAAGTTGGAGTAGGCCACTGTTGGATAGCAGAGACTTTAGCCCATCAACAGATATGCCAAATTGTGTAATATAAAATCCAAGGAAGGCTATTTCAGGTGTCATAAAGGAACATTTAGTCATGTTAATGTGTAGTTCATGTTCTTTTAGTCATGTTAATGTGAATATCTATTACCAAAGTTGGAGTAGGCCACTGTTGGATGGCAGAGACTTTAGAGATCCAACAGAGACTTTAGAGGGATCATCAACAGGGATCAACAGATATGCCAAATTGTGTAATGTAAAATCCAAGGAAGGCTATTTCAGGTGTCATAAAGGAACATTTAGTCATGTTAATGTGTAGTTCATGTTCTTTTATTTTTGTGAAAGAAACAATTTCATTGATATATGAAATTACAAAAGCCTCAAAGGAGGATTACATGAAGCACTTCCAATTGGCTAAAAGTGGCTAAAAGGGAAGTGTAGCTATAATTGTGAAACATAGGGGAGGATTTACACCAAGTAATGACGGTAAGAACTATAGCTTCAAAAAAATTTTCGAAAGGGAGAGTTTTGTCGCTGAAGATGCGTTGGTTGCGTTCTCTCCAAGTGACCCAAAGGAAAGCCCGTATAAAATTCTGCCAAAGAAGAGCTTTCTCTTTTCTAAATGGATGTCCGCTAAGAGTAGTTTCAATGAGGTGAGGGGGATCCGTTGGCAGAGCAGTGTACCAACCAAAAGTGCTAAGGATGAGGTTCCAGAATTTGGTTGCAAAGCGGCGGGAGACGAAGAGGTGTTGTTGGGTCTCAAAGTTTGAATGACACATCACACACCAATGGGGGGAGAGAGCCATATAAGGCAGTCTTCTTTGTAGTTTATCACCGGTGTTGATGGCACGGTGGCTAAGTTCCCAAAGGAAGAATTTCACCTTTTTAGGATATGTGTCCCTCCATATGCCTTCGTACAAACCTTTTGGAGAGCATGGCTGTGTAAGATCTTTAATGAGGGAGTGAGTGGTGTAGATGCCATTTGGTTCTAATTTCCAAGTTAAAATGTCCTCCTCATTGGATAGTTGAATCGAAGAAAGCTTGTGTGAGAGGGCTGCCCATTCAATAATTTCAGCTTCTTTCAGGTTTCTTCTCAACCTTAAATTCCAGCAATTGTTGTCCACACACCAAAGATCCCGAACGGATGCATCCTTTTTCGTAGATAAGGCAAAGAGAAGGGGTGTGTGATGTTCCAATAGTTCATTGACCAACCAAGGAGCCGTCCAAAAAGGGGTAGAGCAACCATTCTGAATTTTGTAAGCCAACCTATCAAAAACCAGTGTGTGGGTCTTGCGAATCGCTTTCCAAGGCCCTTTTCCTGTCGGGAGAGAGGTTGTGTTAGGTTTATAGGGCCAGGATGAGATACCGTATTTAGCTTTGATCACATCATGCCACAACTCGTTCGACTCTTTAGCATATCTCCAAATCCATTTGGCCAAAAGGGCTTTGTTTTTCTGTTTCAGCATGGGCATTCCCAGACCCCCTTCCAAAATCCAAAATCGGCTGTTGTGTAATATTCCATTTAACTAGGTGAATCCCTTTAGCATCTTTGTTGCCTTTCCAAAGAAAGTTTTTAAAGAGACTTTCTAAGGTGTTTGCGACTTTAGATGGTAAAGGAAAGAGGGAGAGATAGTAGCTAGGGAGATTTGCTAAAGTAGCTTGTATAAGCGTATGTCTACCACCTTTGGAGATGTAGGAATTTCTCCATGAGAGCCGTCTTTTCTTCACTTTTTCAACCAAGGGATCCCAAAAAGTGAGAGTTTTAGGCTTACCATGCAAGGGTAGACCAAGATAGAGAGAAGGCCATGATCCCTCTTTGCAATGGAATCTGGAAGCAAGGGCAGACAGCTCACTGCCAGTTAAATTGATTCCCATAATTTCTGATTTCTGATGGTTGATTTTGAGCCCAGATGCTTCTTCGAAAAGCCGGCTGCTGTTGAACAAGTTATTGAGGGGTTCGTCTTCAAAAGTGGAGAAAAGGATTTTGTCATCCGCAAACTGTAGGTGGTGTATGTTCAAGGAGTTGTTGCCCAAATCAAACCCCTTTATGAGGTTGTGTTGTGCTGCTTGTGACATAAGACAACTGAACACATCAGCTATCAAAATAAAGAGAAAGGGTGATAAAGGATCACCTTGACGCAAGCCCCTAGTAGCGATGATTTTGCCTATCGGACGACCGTTGATTATGATGGAGAAGTTTGCAGAAGATATAACCTCGAATCCATTTTCTCCAAGTAGATCCAAACCGTTTAGTGTTGAATTAGTTAGAAGTTAAGATTATGTGGACTTAGTTAGAAGTTGTTTTAAAGTTGTTTAGATTTTGTGTTTAAATTTAGCAAATAAATCTCCTCTTTTGTTAGGGAAGTTAGGAGGTTATTCCTAGATTTTGTTTCCTCTTGTAACCCATAAATAGTGCCTCTATTCCTCATCTTTGATCAATCAATTTGAGAATTTATTTCTTCTCTCTTTTCTCGTGTATGTCTCTCTGGTGTCTCTATCCTTAGTTTTTATGGTATCAGAGCTAGATTTAGATTGACACCAGAATGGTTAAAACAGCCATGATGACTGATGTGCGCAAGGATGAGAGTTCCGATGGATCGAATACGACCTCAATTTCTCTCCCTAAAAGCACATCCACGATACCTCACATCTCTATCTCTGAAAACACTTCGCTCCAAATTACCTCTCCAAAACTCAACGGAAAAAATTTTCTGCAATGGTCTCGATCGGCCCTCCTAGTTATTCGTGGCCGCAGTCGACTCAGGTACATCAATGGCACGATAGCATAACCAGATGAAGCTKACCCTTCTWTTTCCRTGTGGGATGCACAAAACTCAATGGTCATGGCATGGCTCATTAACTCGATGGAGGAGGACATTAAAGAATCCTTCATCTTCTACTCAACAGCAAAGGATCTTTGGAATGCGCTCACTATGGCTTTTTCTGATTTTGATAACTCGGCTCAATTGTTTGAATTACGCAATAAGGCACGTTCCTTACGACAAGGTGAATCCGATGTCACCCAATACTACAGCTCATTACGTAGGTTGTGGGCTGAACTTGATTTATGTCTCAATCTCGAATGGGAGAACTCAAAGGATGCTGAACGCTTCCGCAAACACGTCGAGAAGGAACGAATTTATGATTTTCTTGCAGGTCTTCGTCCGGAATTAGATGATGTACGTGGCCGCTTACTTGCCACAAAGCCAATACCAGCCATTGACGAAATCTTTGCAGAAGTTCGCTGGGAGTCAAGCCGTAAACGTGGGATGATGGGTGATACACACACAAAACCTCTGTCCCTCTCACTGGAATCATCAGCTCTGGCGGCACGAGGTCCACCACTACCTTCATCCCGATCTACTCGTCGGAACAACCTATTATTTGCTTAACTTTTCTCTAATCAAAGTCCACGGATTCCACCAAAACTTCCAAAGAAACTATCATGGAAGAAACTAATAAATCTTCCACAGGAGACCTACAATACATCCATCCTAGTTATAGATTGGATGGAAAAAATTATTTAAAATGGTCTCAACTTATTCGAACTTTCTTGAAAGGAAAAGGAAAATAAACTTTGGGAAGGATAGTGTTGGGAAGAATGTTCAAGTCTTTGTTTCCTCACAAACTCATCCATCTTTAAATAAACTTTGGTTGTCTCATTATAGACTAGGGCATGCCTCATTTAGATCTCTTAAAATTTTATTCCCAGATTTGTTCCAAAACTTTAGTTTTGATTCAATATAGTGCGACATTTGTGAATTTACTAAACACAAGCGTGTTCCATTTCCTAGTAATAATAAACGAACTTCAGCTCCTTTCTCTCTTATTCATAGTGATGTTTGGGGTCCCTCCAACGTGCCAAATACTTCCAAATTACGCTGGTTTATTGTATTCATCGATGATTGCACTAGGGTTTCGTGGGTTTATCTTCTAAAACAAAAATCTGATGCTGGTTCTACCATTCAAACATTCTTCCATATGATCGAAAATCAATTTGGAATCAAACCCAAACGATTAAGGTCTGACAATGCTCGAGACTACTTCAACCAAACATTAACATCGTTCTTTCAAAAACATGGAGTCATTCATGAGTCGTCTTGTGTGGAAACTCCTCAACAAAATGGGGTTGCCGAAAGAAAAATTGGTCACATCCTTTCTGTGACCCGTACCCTTCTTTTCCAAAGAAATGTTCCTAAATCCTTCTGGGGGGAAGCTGTACTGACAGCCACTTACTTAATCAATGGGCTACCATCTGCTTCTTTAGATCAAAAAACTCCCATGAATATCTTATCAAAAATTTATCCTGATTTCCGTACGACAAATAACTTGATTCCTCGAGTGTTTGGTTGTGTAGCTTTTGTTCATGTTCATAGTCATCAAAGAGGTAAACTTGATGGTCTAAATATCGAGTCACCTCAGCCAAAAATACCTATCCCGATCGTCCCAATTACTCAGATACAAGAGTCAGTTCCTATTATTTCCTGTAATAATGAAGATGATCAAGTCAACTCAAATCGAAGTGACAAGCAACCTGAGACTCTTGTTTATTCTTGGCGACAAACGGTTCAAAGAGGAGTGGAGCCACCACAGCCTCAACAGCAAAGTCATGAATCCATCTCGTCCTTAGGTATTGAAC